AAAAAAATACTGTTTATGGCAGATGTACAAAGAATTGCAGGTTCTTTCGCCATTGGTTCCGACTAGGCAATTCTATTTCCTACGTTTCTGTCAGCAAATCGAGCAAGGCACGTGGGCAATTGTCGATATTTCCTATGATCTTCCTCATCAAGAGAACCAATTTGCTGCTTCATGTAAAACTCACAGGCTTCTTTCTGGATGCTTGATACAAGATATGCCTAATGGTTATTCCAAGGTTGTGAAATTGAATCAAATAAAATCATTATGTAGTAATCAATAATTTGGACTATGAAAGTTAGTGAATTTTGATGGACTATTTATAACAGGTCACTTGGTTGGAACACTGGGAAATAGAAGATAAAGTTCCAATACATAGGCTTTATATGGATCTTATTCACAGTGGGCTGGCATTTGGAGCTGAAAAATGGCTTTCAAGTCTTCAAAGGATATGCGAAAGATACGCTTGTCTGATGGTTACCAGCAATTCGAGTCATGACCTCCTTGGAGGTAAATAATTGCTCTAAAAATTCTTGTATCCCTGAGTATGAAGTACCTAACGGATTAGCTTTTTCCGGTACCTAATTTTAAAAGCTACATTTACAGTTATTCCTTCACCTGAAGGGAAGAGAAGCATGATGAAACTGGCACAGAGGATGGTTAACAACTTCTGTGCAAGCCTAAACCCTTCTAATGGCCAACAATGGAGGACACTTTCAGGGTCGAATGAATTTGAAGTCCGAGCAACTCTTCATAAGAGCACCGATCCTGGCCAACCCAATGCTATGGTTCTCAGTGCTGCCTCTACAATTTGGCTTCCCATTCCTCCAGAAAATGCCTTCAGTTTCTTCCGGGATGAGAGGACTCGACCTCGGGTAAAGTCAGCAGGAATCTACTTGCATTGCCTTTATTTTTCTCTGATATCTTTGTTTAATTCGAAACCCCAAAAGAATTTGTGTTGACCTTAGTAATAATCTGGATTAACTCCTTTTCTTTCTTTAATCCAGTGGGACGTCCTTTCCAATCAAAATCCTGTTGAAGAGGTGGCTCACATTGCCAATGGCTCTCATCCAGGGAACTGTATATCTGTTATTCGGGTAAATCCATTCCCCTGATCCTCATTTTGCTCGGAAGCTTGTTTTCTTAATTATAGACATGTTTGGAAAGCAGTATTGAATAGGATTAAAAAGTACAATTGACCTGATTTTTTCTTATTTTCTTTCCTACAAAACATGGTAGGACGTGACAATACAATAGACAAGATTAACAGTTGATTAATTGTTGTGCAAAGAATTATAATTCGAACATTCTTGAATCAGGCATTAAACACTAGCCAGAGCAACATGTTGATACTCCAAGAAAGTTGCATAGACTCATCGGGATCCCTGGTCGTCTACTGCCCTGTCGACTTACACCACATCAACATAGCCATGAGTGGTGAGGATCCCTCATATATACCTTTGCTACCATCGGGATTAACCATCTCGCCCGATGGCAGGCCAGATCAAGAAAGGGGTGTCAATGGAGCCTCGACTAGTTCAAATACCGGTGGTGTTGGTGGTAGGTTACCATCAGCAGGTTCACTTATTACAGTTGTGTTTCAAATACTACTAAGCAACTTGCCATCTGCTAAATTGAGCGCTGAATCAGTCACAACTATTAACAACCTTATCAGCAACACTGTCCACCAAATTAAAGCTGCCTTGAATTGCTCTACTTCCGGATGATACCTTAAATTCAGCTTCTGGTGCATGTTTCACAAGTGTTTGTCGCCTTTAATTATGCGTAATGATCAGAAACTGACTATTTTGGTTAGTTGGGAACTTTGAATGCTACTATCATCAATGGCTGAAACTGACTTATTGCTGCTGCCTCCTGCTGTTTTTGCTGCCAATCCTCATTACAATTCGCAGCAGCTTTTATTGATCTTGTCTAGTTTTCTGCTTATTATCGCTTTTACTTAAATGACGGAGTCAAGAACGCACCATATGGATCTTTCCTGCTGTGGGTTATGCTTTTTCGA